TAAGAAAGGGAACTGCTTCAGCGTCTGACAACGTTGAGGTCCAAAACTGCTGCCAGCTTCGGGCAGCCTGCTGGCACCATTCGCAGCTATGTTGGGTATCCCAGGCATCAACACTGCTCAAAAGCTACAACTGCCCTTCACTCCAAAATATCCCTGCCAGGGACAGGAAATAGGAACTACCCAGCAGCACATCTGAGGACAAATGCAACGTGTGCAAGACAACTTCACTAGTTGCTTAATCTCAGTGCCTTTCTTCAAATGCACATATAGCATGCTGGTCAGTTATTTGAACATGGCTGCAGCAGTAAGTGATCTCAGTGGCTCGGCTATGCTAACACCCAGGCCTGTAAGTTGCAGCGCCTGATTTAACTTTGCCAGCAGCATCTGAGATTCTTCTGGCTGGGCAACTGTTGGAGGACGTGTCAGGGCTAAAGCTCACGCAAGGGGAGTTCACATTCACACACAAACACACACATACACACCCCTGACCAATTTAACAGGCTGGTTTAAGTTTAATGGGGCTTGTTAAATGCTGTATATTGCAAGAATCATAAAAATGTTCATATAAACCCTTGGATAAGTAAATGAACAGGGGTTTCCGACAAACTACTGGGAGCAGCAGACACATGAGATGTGTGTGTCGTTCACAACAACACTTTATGACACCAATTTAAATCCTATCACATTTCAAGTCCCAGAAGAGAAGAAACTAAGTTTTGGATGCAACAATGAGTTTTCTCCTCCTCTAATGGAGATTAATGGGTAACAGTCTGAGCATCAATAGGCTTATTGCAATTCACTAACACCCTAACACCAGCAAACTCGCAGAGATCAACAAAACCCTTAATGAACTGGCACAAGCCTCCTGTGGAAAAATCACTGAAAATAATTCCAGTGCAATATTCATCGATGCGAGGAGGTGCTTAGTGTTTCAGAAGGTGTTGCCTGATATCATGATCTATTGCTGTGTAATCGCACCAGTAATTACTTTGCCTGGGACTTAAGAAGAACACCAGGCTTGCCAAACTGAAGTCTCTGTAACACAATTAGTATATGCAATCATATTACCTTGCACTGCCAGGCTAGCTAAACGAATAGCTTGTTCTAGTGTGCATGAGATCCTGCCATCCAGAACATCCTTCTTCAGCTGTAGGTAATACTGATATCTGTGGAGGAAGACAGGGTTACTTAGACAAATAGCCGACAACCAGATACGACAACTTTGTTCAGGTTTGGAGAAACCGCTATAAAGTCATTACAGTGGAAAACTTTTTAAATGCAGCGGTATTAGAATAACATACAACATACTCAAATGAGTAACACTTGATACCTCTGTACTTGGATTTAAGTATTAAAAGAGATGGATGGGTAAGAAGACATCCCTACAAACTGACATCCAGTTCAGGTGGCTCTAAGCTGCTGCATCAACCTTAACCTGGCTGAAGCTTATTTACAGGGAAAAAAAACAAACAAAACACACTTGGTTGCACTCAACTTTCCTTGGCACTCACTTCCTAACTAAATTGTGTAACTTCTTAACTGCTGTTAGTGAAGATAAACTGTCGCTGACACGCTTAGGGGCTTAGACAAGACACCTCGTGTCACCGATGGAACATCACCTTGTGATCTCTTGTTGCAGTTGGGTCACACTGGGTATGTAAAACACGACTCCAAAGTAAACGGTGGGCTCCAGCCCATACTTGTCCAGCTGCTTTTTCAGCGGCTTCTCCAAGTCAATCCATCTCTGCTGGTTCTGTTTGTTGAGGTACCACAGGCTGAAGTATGTTATCTAACAGGCACAGAAAGCAAGCACAAACATTATACCTGGGCAACACTGTGATCAAGGACAATGTGTAGCACAGATTAAACTTTAGAACAATATTATATGACTGTTTGAACTCAAAATCACACACGCCCTCTCTAAAGTCACATATTTTAAGAGCACAGATTGCAGGTCTCATAATCATCTACATAACAAAAACATGTAAACCAGAAAATACAACAATTGCATCTTCTCTAGATTTATGGCTGTTGGCTCTCCCCGTTCAGTCTTGTGATTGCCTGAACATTTCACACTGAACACTGATAAGAAAAGTAACCCCTATAGGCTTGCCGTTTACCAAAGACAATTCAGCTGAAAGAGATCTATTGTGATGTGAAGCCACTCTTAAATGACTACTAGTAAATAACCTGCCAACATAACTATTTTACATTGGATAATACTGGTTATAACTATGTGTAAACATTACTTTCTTTTTCATTATAATTCTATGAAAAACGACCTAGATCACAGAAAATAACAACAAATTAAGACATGCATCTTATTTCTTTGGAGGTCAATTGCCAATCATTACATTTTACTAACATCAGGCTGACGCTGAGTTAATACAGATTTTCAGATAGTGAAAAGTTAAGTGTGACGAGGAACTAGTACTAGTCTTAGTAACAAAGATCTCATTCCTAAATCATTTACAGTGACAACAGTTGTAGAACCTTTCTAATAAATATTGACTGAGAACCACATGATTGCACAAACAATCCATGTGACATCAAAAACAAACAATGCATTATCACTCACTGCATAAAAGACAATCTCTAAATGAGAGTGGAGGCCTATCACTAGCACTGCTAGCGAGACCAACGCGGCAAAATAACAGACGCTATCATGGTGTGCAAGCTCCCATGCCAGATTGCCTGCATATTCAGCAGTCTCTACTGTTCATTTGAGGTGCAACTGGAAATGACAGCATCTCTTTCAGCTCATGACTAACAGGTGGTTTTCACTGTGTGACCATAGTGACCAAATGTAGACATGAAGCTCAGGACATTTTTCAGTCCTGACTCAGAACTGTTTTCTTGACCATACTGTCCATGCTTTGTGAGGGCTGCCTCTTCTGTTTGAATGAAAATTTTAAAAAACATGCATGATAAGTTTGTGAATCTGTGTGATGAGTTGTTTACATACATGTTATTACACACACATTCCTGAATTGTGTCATAAGCAGAACAGAGATTATGAGAGATACTACGTGCAAACAATGACAAACTGGTTATCTCAGTTTCTGTTGTCCTGCTCACCAGTTCCTAGTAAAAATGTGACTAATGGACAAGCTCGACGTTGCGGTGAGTCCCCAAAAAAAGTCTATAAGACAGAACAATCAGCACTTGTATCGCGTAAAAACACATACATACCTCTCTTAACTCAAGTCTCTGAGCAACTGCCTCCAAACATTCCTGCCCGGTGCTCTCCACTGAAAGTGTAAACTCAACAAACTCCCCATTGAGCAGCTGAATCCGAGTGACAAGACAGCTCTTGCTTGAAACAGTATACCTTCGAGTCCGTTTGAGTTTTAAGCCAAATGGCAAGGGCATGTTTCACACTTCTTCAAGAGGGAGGTCTTCACTTAGTGCAGAGAAATAATCCTCCTCACTGTCATCTCGAAAAGTGTGTGAATGCTACAAGTACAGATCATCATCAGGTTATGTGTCTGGAAAAAAATGAGACAGGAAACATGTCAATGCATCAGCAAACATCACCAGAATTTGCAAGCGTGGAAAAAGGGGGATGCAAAACAGAGTGAATCACAACTGTAGTGGTCAAACTCATCACTATAGCATATGTTGCGGTAATTTTGGATAATCTTAACACGGTCTGTCACCCTGAAACAGACGCCAGACCAGACAAACACAAGACTTATCGTAAAGTAATCCTCTTAAATGCGGCATTTTGTTTTAAATTGCGTTACCTAACTTGGCTAACTCGGATTTGCTGCCAAATTAACTTTAAGTTAACTCTAAAAATGCACGAAAAGCAAATCTATGGTGCAGCAATTGTCAGTAGGCTACCCGACTTGTGTAATTAATGCAGTCTATAATACAGTTTGCAAGACATTTCCTAATTTTGTGGTTAAATTAATCCCTTTCCAGTGAATAGCCGGATCCAAACACTGACAAGAGCGACCTGATTCAACACGAAGCAAGCTAATGCAAAATCCCTGTTGCTTTCCATCTCAAACATGCATCCATATTACTTTATTTCACATAATTAATACGATGAAATAAGTTTCTTACACTTATTTGACATGCTCCGGAGCAACACGCTACTTTTAATCTGTAATTATTTAATCCTATAAACTTTACCCGTTAACTACAAGTAGCGCTCAATTAGCTTTAACGCTAGCGTGCTAACTGATGCTCCAGCAAATAGACGGCACCCTTGGGAAGCTGACGTCGCCGGTAAATGTTTTGGCCAAGAAAAAAACGTTAACGTTACCGTTAGCCACCCGCTGCAGTTTAGTAGTCCAACTGGGAGTCGGTCCTGGGGTATTCCGCCATCAATGTCAGTGGATAACCCTACTTTTTAAAAGATATTTATCGGAATTAGAGACAGTCCATTTGTGTGGAGTTTGTTTGTGGATCCAAACTATCGTAGCACCCCATGCCTCTTGGTCCAACAGTTCACTCAAGTTCCAAGCGTGTTTCGCTTCCTGGGATTGGTGGAGCGACAAGTATATTCCGTCTACATCCGCGGCTCTACATCTCGTATAACTGTGCTTCAGCTGTTGATAAATCGCTATAACACATCGGAATATACTCCGACTTTACAATAATGGAGTACAAAATAAATGAAGTGTCGTACTTTGTTGATTAAATGCGTTATACATGCATTGTAGTGCCTCCGCGGCGGAGGAATACATAGAGGTTTTCAGAGGCATGACATCAGACAGCTGGAATGCCGAGCCGTGAAAATGCCAGAAATGGGCCAGCTGTCCGGAGCTGCTGCTGGCCGCTGACCTGTCTGTTTACCTTTTACATCGACTGAAAGCTGTAACGGCAAACACAGAATATTGTGCAATGATAAAATAGCTGTCCTCTGTAATACTTTGCAAACTGGCTCAACTCACAGTCCGCAAATGTGGTAATAATAGCTGCACTTGCTTTGCTGCTGATTGCAGGCTGAATGATTGCCAGTTTGCACAGTAAATAATCAGATGCCAACATGCAAGAATCAGAAGAATAGAAAATTTATTGCAGCTGTAAAGACACTTTCTGGTGACAGTCAACTTCTAGTTGCTACATCTCACAGGCATATAAAGTCAAACACACTCCATTGCAACAAGTGTTTTTCTACAAATCTGAAAATGTAAACTGCAGCTACACCATGCTTCAGACTGACTGGGCACACTTTTCAATCCACTCTAATTTCACACATCTGACATCAATTAAGTGCTATGGACAATCCTTTGCAATTTTTCAAATCCTGCTACTGTAGTTACCATTAAGTAATAGTTTGGAAAAAGTCAATTGGCCACAAAAGCCAGCATGTACCCTCTTTACAATATCCTAAATGAGGCATTCAAGTCTATGGTGCACTCACAAAACCTTGTATGCCATAATATGTGAACATGTCATTGTGCTTTTGTAAAATGGTTATTAAAAAAGCATAATATAACTACAACACCATCATGGTGAGGCTTGTAAAAACATAAATACAACCAGTGTTAAATCAAATTTACAAAACTATACTTTCAGATATTTCAGATATTATATTTCTCCCTGGAAAAACACTCACTTGGTAACAAAAACATTAAAGGACATGCAATCCCTGAATACAGCAAAACTCAGAAAACTCAAAACTCATCATCACTGACAGACGCAGCTGTATTTGTGTGTTGCTCAGTGGCAGTTTCCACGTTGTTGTGGGTATTGCTCGACACGTGAAGCGACTCTGACAGATTTCTACCCAGATCCTCGAGCTCTTTAGATTGTCCATCATAGCCGTCTTCATCTTGGTCTTTGTCACTGGCTATAGTGGTGTATTCCTGGCTTTCATTGCTGACTTCTTTTGACTCAAGTGCGCCTGTTTGATTTAGATGATCATCAGAAAGCCAAGGAGAACCTATGCCCTTTTCCTGACTCACATCTTCTCCATCCTTTTCATTTGTCTTAGTTGCGGTGATTTCAGGAGAGCCCAAGGGTGTAGAGACCATTAGGGGATCAGAGTAATCTGGCGAATCGCAGTATTTAATTAGTGACGCATAAGGGAACGCGTCATTGTCTTCTTTGGTCTTCACTTGATTCCCCTCTGATTCCAGATGTGGCAGGAACGAATCAAACAGATCATACTCCTTTTTTTCAAGCTCTGCGGTGGAGGTGGATGTGTTGGCTGGCTCTTCAAAGTCTTTACGCAGCACTTCCAGGAGGTGGCGCATTTTACCCTAAAAACAAACATATGCATGAGAGGAAACAGAGGAGTCCTTGTGACAACCCTTTCATTATTTTCAGATATTAATATTTGCTTAACATATTTAGTATTCTGAATTAAGTTATATACTCACGACATCAAGCTGATGCCGATTCATGTCGATATGGCGTTTTATCACACGGTCGAGGAACCTTACAGAAGACACAGACACAAACAATGACTCAGAAGGTGATAACCAACAGTAGACACCTTTTAAACAACATACTCAATTGCATGCTATAGCTATTAAAAAAGTGTCATCCAGGTTGCAAATGTAATCTTGTAGTTCACAGAAATAAATGAGACACCTGTCAGAGATGTGCCCTCTGGATAAGATATCCTCCGTTACAGCAGAAATGAATTCGAGGTACATTAATTCTTCTTCCCTGTTGAACGACAGATGAGAATTATTCCCTTCACAAATTTACTTAAAAGTACTTTAGCTGGGTCTTAAAATTTACTGAAGCATCACACCATTAAACTCTTACACATATGTCAATAATCTTTTAGCTGTATAAGCATTAGACATGATCAAAGAGAACTTACTCTGCAGATATACCCTTCATAAAGGGAGATTTCCCGCCTTCTGGTGAGACCCTAAAAATTAGACTTATTTTAGATCTATATAGAGGAAATACAAAAGGTATAAGATGGCGCTTAAATGCAATATTATAATTCCACTTCCTGATTTTACCTGGATGAGGAGTCAAAGAAATCACGGTCTCTGCTCTTGTTCGCTCGACTCTGTTGTCTAGATGCTGAGAAATATGTGCCGTTGAGCTCGTCTTCAGACCACTCGTGCTCTGTATTAAATCCCTGTAAAACAAAAAGGACGGTAAAAATAACAAGGCGTATTCAATGATGTCAAGGCTGCGTGATGATCAAGTATCTAATGTGGCTGTAAACACTTCAGCTCTCTATGGTTTAAAGGGACGATAAACCACACAAGGTTATCTGACATTGAGCAGCAAATAATCATAACCCATTATCTTTACGGTCTTTATTATACCTGAATAATCATCTTACATCCCCAAATTACCTGAGATGGCTCGTATAATTCCTGTGTGTATTCCTTGGTTTTTGTGCTGCATTAAAAAGACAGAATTCAAGTTATTTCTAACACATTACAACACATGTTCCACGTGTTAAGAAAGCTGTGTTAAAGACACAAATCTATTGCTTTCCTTTGAGATTCAGTGAGATGTTTGGTTAGTACCTTCCATGATATGTCTCCTGCCGCGTCAATCTAGAGTTGCTGCAATCCTGAGTAGGTTTCCTCCGTGGTGGTGCTCTGTAATAGCGATACTGTGACAGGTATGAACTCTTTTCTGATTTCAGGGTCTTAGGGGTGAAAGGTTTGTCTTGGGTAAAGCGCTGTGAATGTTTCTGGAGCAAGTCTCCGCTGTACGTCTTCTGAACAGGGTCCTGGAAAGTCTTGTAGCAGCTCTGATCTCCCGAAGCTCCCAGTGACCACACCGACCGCTTTCTGTGGGAAGTCGTGTCCGGGCTGCGGTACTTTGTTTCTGATGCTGGGCGAATGTGTTGAGAGTGGTTCTGAGAGCCGACTTTACCCGGTGGATAAACTATGTCCTTGGCGTGAAAAGAGGAGCTGAACCTTGGGCTGGAGGCCGTGGAACTCCTTGAGCAGAGGTAAGGGCTGTCGTCGTACTGCATGGATAATCTACTCTGAAAAGCAAACATGTATTGACGTAATGTAGGCTTTGAATTTAAATCATTTGAGTGCTTGTAATCATTGGCATTCTTTCTGCGTAAGATACATTAACATCACACGAAGCAGTGAGAAACACATCAGTGACATTTCCTACCTGAGCTGAGGAGCTGGAGGCTCTGCTATTTCTCTGCGACAGAGAGTGGGCTGACTGAGGACGACCCCCTTTCCTCAACCGCTCCTGTCTGAGCTGGTCATTATCTGTAAACAGGCAATTTAAAGAACACATGAGGAGACACAGGAAATAGTCTATAATAGACTAAAGGACTAACAGCACTTAATTGCAAGGTATGGGAGGGTCGATGGAGCAATTGAGATAGCACATAAGCAGAGAGCATGACTTTTACCATTAAAGATAAGGATGAGTTGCATCCTGTGCTCAAATGTGATGAGTGGGTGGATTGCATTATTGCTTAATGAGGTGACTGTCAGTGCAGCAATTGGACTCTGCCTGCTCTATGATGCATGTCTTCCTGAGCTACTGAATGCTGACGGAAAGTGGTGAGTTCAAAGAGACAACTTTGGTCTTTAAAGGTCCAGTGTGCAAGATTTAGGAGCATGTGCTGGCAGATATGGTACATACTATTCATAACTATGTTTTCATTGGTTTATAATCACCTGAAAATAAGAATCCTTTTTTTTAGCTTAGAATGAGCCGTTCATAGCTACATATGATGTGGGTCCTCATCCACAGAGTCCACCATGTTATTCTACAGTAGCCCAGAGCAGACAAACTAAACACTGGCTATCTGCAGTGTCTCACTGACCACCAAGGTTCTCCTACACACCTGGCACTCCAGAGAAATTTCAGTTGTGCAACGTCTCCGCCAGTTGCCACTAAATCCCACACTCAACCTTTAATTCTGATAACAAATACTGCCACAGCAATACCTGGCTGTTAGTGGTTACATTTGGATGGCATTTAAACCAATTATAATGCTATTAAAAACTATTGTGGGTGTGCTTACATGAGAAATATATGACCAATATTCAGAAATATGAGATACATCTTCATTTCAATGGCAAAAAAGTGTTTATAGTTAATTATTAATTTAATATTTGACACTTCGGTACTTACATTTTACACTAAGTATCAAGCTTTTGGGTACTGAGGCATCAATGGCAGCTGCAGAACAAGGCAAAAAAGTAAGGCCACCATAGGTCATTCATGTAATTATTATGCAACAAAGATACATGTCTTAACCACTTCAACATAAATATGCAGGAGCTGAATTAGTCACGTCTGCTGAATATCAATGTAAGGATCACGTAGCTCACCTTTAGCTGAGTAAACCTTTTTGTAATGAGACACCATGTGGTCTTTGACAATGGACTGTGTCAACTTGCTGGAGGAGCGAGGGCAGAAAGCTGAAAACACAACACAGAGAACAACACACAGTGCACTGTTAGATTAAACTCATAAATGACTTGTTTACCATTATGATACTAGCGCATATTAATACTTACGGCTACTTTTTAAAGTCTGTCCTCTCACACCAGGGCTGCACCCCAGTCCAGATGATACACTTCCTAAAATACATAACATAAATGGTTATGGTTATAGCCATGTTGACTCCCTTGGTCAAATAATAGGTTTACAGACAGACAAATTATCAATGATAGTTTTTATGAATGCTTTTATCTTAAAGTCACTCACCAAGCAAGCATTTGGTGAATACAGCTTCTCAAAAGTGATTTAAAGGGATAGTGCACCCAAAAATAAAAGCACACCTAATGGCTGACGGCGCCCCAGACTAACGTTCAAGAACACAAAATTGAAACCACAAAATATCTCCAACATGCTCATCCGTAGTGATCCAAGTGTCCTGAAGCCCCGACATAAAAAGTTGTTTCAAAAAACGTCATTTGAACTCTGTTTTTAGCCTCACTGTAGCCTGTAGCTCTGACTGCTTCTCTGTGCTCCGCACTTGTGATCGGTGATGCACGGTCTCTGAAGAGCAGCAGTCTCATCAGTACTGATGTCCAGATTCTCAAGTGCAGGCATCGCCAATTCCCAGTCTGAGCAGCAAAGACTTTCCTCATCCATTGGCATTGCTTTGCATTTGAAACAACTACACCACCAGGTTTCCAGTGCTCGACTCCGGCATTCTGCGGCTGGCTGAGGCTCATGAGCTGCAGCCGCTGCTTTGTCCAGTAGCCTGAGTTCCACGTCCGTATACTCGGGTTCAAACAAATACAGCTCAACAAAGAAATGCTGTTCCTCCTCAATTTCAAAGTCTTCAGACATGTTGGGCTGTCCTTTGCTAAAAGACCATAGTGCAAATTATCTTTTAGCTACTGTGGTTACTGTTGTCTCTCCCTGCGGTGCACGTGTCACGTGATGTAAACACGGGTGAGCAAAGCTCATGCTTTCGCTGGTCTCGCGCAAGTGCGCACACGTGAGCGCGGAGCACAGAGAAGCAGTCAGAGCTACAAGCTACAGTGAGGCTAAAAACAGAGTTCATATGACATTTTTCGAAACAACTTTTTATGTCTGGGCTTCAGCACACTTGGATCACTACGGATGAGCATGTTGGAGATATTTTGTGGTTTCAATTTTGTGTTCTTGGATGTTAGTCTGGGGCGCTGTCTGCCATTAGGTGTGCTAGCCGCTCCCCTCGCCAATCTCCGCAAGGGATGAGAGGACTCTAAAACTTCACCAGGGCCTCCGTCGGCATATGGGTGAGTAGATAATGGCTGAATTTTCATTTTTGGGTGCACTATCCCTTTAACATTTTTACCCAATTGATTATGCATTGGGTTCCTGAATATTGGTCAGAAATGTTAGCTATTTTACGATTCACGACAGACTTTGTGTCATTATTTACACCATTTATTGACAATGCAATCAAAAATATTAAGTTTAGTTTAGTTTATATAAGAAGGGACAGTGCAAGTTAATGAATACACTTGGTGTAAAAATGCCAGAATTAGCCAAAAGGCTATTCTTCATCTAGAGTCCCTTTGCCAAGATGGTACACAAGGCTACCTAAAATACAACAAAGCAAAACAAAAAACAAAAAAACAGTGCATAGAGTTTAAGACGTCTTTGAATACATCAACAAGAAATGATTTTAATATATTTTTTTAGTCACAAGAATGTTATGATCATCACGTGTGATTCAGTGCTAAAACTTGCAGCAATATTGATGCATTATAAAAGGACATACAATTTTTAAAAGCACAAGAGGCAGTAGTGACATATTTGACTATAAAACAACACTGCAACATCAGCCATTATCATGAAGTTCTTTGAATATTGTTTAAATAATTATGGAAGTATCATTACATTGGTAGATAATATAAAACAATCAGGGTAATTACTTTGTGTCTAGTGTTTCTACACCTCTGTTCAAGCTTTACTGTATCATCATCATCATCATCATCATCATTATTAGTAGTAGTAGTAGTACTAGTACTATGTAATAATTAGTCAAGGTTAGTTCAGAGCAGATATGTGTGGACAAGTGACGTTATGTAATGCAAACAATAACTAAATAAATATAAAGAATATATGTTTTTAATCAGTAAAAAGTATATTACTGGCTCATCTTACTTTGATATGTCGTGTTTACAGTAATACATGGTCATTCAATAGTGTAAAAACAAAGTTGTGAAAATAGTAAACGCACAACATGGGAAAAAAAATCGTCTTTATTTTAATGTACCCAAATAAAGTAGCCTAACCTTAGCTGTAGCATCGTGTTACAAGCTAACGTTACTGTTTTAGTTATGAATTTCACGTCTCTAGAACATGTAATGTGAGTATAAGGACGGCCATTGTCTAAATGAACTTGAAGGAGGATGAGAAGACACACAGTCAGCATAAGTTTATCTTCAGATAGCTGCCTAAGCGCAATTTGAATTTGCTTCATGCTGCTGATTAACTAGCCAAACAGCTAGCTAATGCTAACAGTGTTTCCATACCTGTTCTCGAGTCCATGCTAATGTTGCACTCAGCGTATCCCATTTTCCTCAGAAATATCCCGGGACAGCGGCGGTAGGGCTCGGATACATCCACAAACTACAGTGTACTTGACTACAAACATTTTAACGCTGTCAAACAATCACGTAACGGAAAGCTAACAGTCTAATACTAGCTTATAAGCAGATGAGCGGCGGAGCAAAGCTTCCCCGTCGCCATGCTGGTTGCTATGATCACCTACGTCATCACGCTCATGCGTAAGGAAAGCCACGCCCCAAACCACCAACTAAACCCCAAACACCTGTCATCTGGTGGGGGAAAGGGAGCTGAAATAACAAGATAAGAAGTCAGGATTGAATTAAATCAAATACATGAATACTTATTTATATTATTTATCATGAAATTTGAGTCTTCATGGAGTTTTTATATAAACCCCACTGACAAAGGAGTTAATTCAGCTTACAGCACATACAGACAGCAGACAGAAAAATAGACAAAATGAATATTTGTGTGTCAACACTGTGATATTTCTGGTTGTGGACATGATGTTTTTGGAGCCACAGAAAATGAGACAAACAGGATGAAGCAGGTGGAGCCAGTGTGATGCCCATAAACTGCAAAAGTCAGCTGATATTGTGCTCACTGGTGATAAAAAACAGTGACATGTACTGGAGCCCCTGTGTCTGCCAATTAAAAACAGGGTTACAGAGCAGTAGCTGTGCATTGAATTTTATACAATTGTCCTAATAGTGCAGTTATTTTAATTTACACCAGAGGAGGAGGTGAGACAATGGCTAGAAATTCAGTACCCTTTAAAAACACATCGCAAAGGCCCTGAAACTGTGAAATATATCTATTATTAAAAGCTCTTCTGTGCCACCCATGCTCCCTGAAGGCTCCTTAATATCTAGTTGATATATCTATCTTGTTTATTGCTGGTGTGCCATTTTCAGGAAAGTTTGCACATATACAACCAGCAGCAAAAGTTCCCTCATTTACAGAAACAAAGTAGTGTGAAAAATCTGACCAATGTAGGAAAACACAGTGTCACAAATATAAATTATGATTTTACCAAGTACGTCAGTCGTGGGAACATTTTGTCAGCAGCATATTGTTAATTCTGCCATGTTCCTTGTATTGTTTGACGGACCTTTTAAGCCCTCACGTCATATACCAACAAAGGATTGTGAATCAAGTACAGTAGTGTGAAACACACTTTGCAGTACAGCTAACAGCAGTGTTAGCCCTTTATCACAAATCAATTCATGCTTCATTTCCCCCCCTCCCCCAGTAACAGTTTGGTTTTATTGCCAATTTAAAATGTAGAAATGAATGTTAAATTAAGTGTTTTAAACCCCAGTGTGCTTATCCTTTTGTTTACAGGAGTCAAACAGGTCTATATTTTCAATTAAGATGAGCTGAAATAAATCTTTATTTGACTTTGACCATGTAGCCTGTGTCAAATTGATGTGAATGTAATTTTGCTGTGTGAATAAAATGCTGCCACCCTGAATCTTGCTGTCTTTGTCATTCCCAAATGAATCCGATTCGAATAGTTTTTCACAGCTTGTCATAGCAGAGAAAGCACAGGTGGAACTAATGACATCAATGATGGCTCCATTGCAGCAATTACAGCAATTGGTTACACCTGTGTTTAAAGTGTCTCGAAGCCAATTCCCTTTTTCTTACTGTAGTGCGTTTTTCCACCCTCCACAGGTCTGCAGACTGATGATGCCTGGCCAAGAGAGAGCCAGGTGTTGCTGATTGGACGCTCACAGCTTGTTGACGTCATTACTGCTGCCTTCTGTTTGATTTTGTTCTTACAAAGAACCTGAAATCTGGAATAAAGCTCTTTTGAGTTCAACTTTAATGTCATATTTGGACATGCCTTTAGCTCTCAAAGCCAGTCACTCTTAGGCTAATGTACAGAAGTAGGCTACACCCAGTCGGCCACCACAGAAAGGGACGAAACGTTGTGTCTGCTGTGAAAGAGGCCAATGCAAGTTTAGTTTTGCTCAACATTTTCCCCTGTAATGGTTCTGTACACTGAGTGTCTTTAAATTACATTACATCACTGCTAACTCTTGCGTCGCATTTCATAAATATTTTTACTTTCTACGCCGTTTTCTTTCTTCCATGGCTCGACCAGTCTGTATCTGTCAGTTAAAACTCCCTTAAATTCATATTTTCTTCTTTGTTCTTTGTTAGTTTCTACTATTGATTTTACTCATTTAATCACTTGCATGGTGGTGCAGTGGTTAGCATTGTTGCCTCACAGCAAGAAGGTTCCTGGTTCAAACCCAGGGTGGGGGAGCCCTTCTGTGCAGGCTCCTTGTGTCAGCGTGGGTTTTCTGAAGGTGCTCCAGCTTCCTCCCACAGTCCAAAGACATGCAGGTTAATTGGTGACTCTAAATTGTCCGTAGGTGTGAATGTGAGTGCGCATGGTTGTTTGTCTCTATGTGTCAGCCCTGTGATAGTCTGGTGACCTGTACAGGGTGTACCCCACCTCTCGCCCAGTGTCAGCTGGGATAGGCTCCAACCCTCCCACAACCCCCAACAGGATAAGTGGTTATGGAAAATGAATGAATGAATCTAAGGCAATTAGTTTAGTTGTCCACCTACTAGAGCTCTTGTAAAATTTCTGTTTCTCCAGTTGCAATTCAACAATTCAACAGTCCACTTCATACTCTCAGAAAAACTGAACTTCACCTATTCACTCAACCTATGCGGCGCAGGTTGAGTGAATAGTTCAACTAAATTAATCTTGGAATATATAGGTGTTTAGGGTGGCACGGTGGTATGGTGGTTAGCACTGTTGCCTCACAGCAAGATTGGGTTTCTGGTTTGATCCCAGGAGGGAGCCCTCCTGTGCAGAGTTTGCATGTTCTCCCCGTGGTTTTCTCCGGGTGCTCCGCCTTCCTCCCACAGTCCAAAGACATGAAGGCTAATATATGACTCTAAAATTGTCCATGTGAGCATGAAGGTCTGTCTCTATGTGTCAGCCCTGTGATAGTGATAGTGATAGTGATAGTCTGGTGACCTGTCCACCTCTCGCCCAGTGTCAGCTGGGATAGGCTCCAGCACCCCTGTGACCCTCAAGAGGATAAGCAGTTAAGGAAAATGGATGGATGTAGGTGTTTTTGAATAGTCACATACTGTACTTTATAGACAATCTGTTCAAAGTGAAACAGTTGAACTGATTCTCAACTGATAAGCTGATAAGACGATAAAAATACATATAAATATATAATATAAACTATCTGTGAGTGGATCATCCATACAAAGTGTTACCAAGGAAGGGAATAATTTTTCAATTTTTATTTTATCATTACTTCACTGTAGTGAAGTCATCCTGACTGCAGTGAAGACATGCCCAGGCACTGGTCAGGCAGAATTTGTAAACCTAAACTTAAAACATATAGAGCTTGGCAACTGATGCCACAGTGCAGTGCATTGTGGGCCTGCACCTGCCAATAAATAGAGGGGTATTTTACTCATTTGTTTATGTGTGACCTGCCAACAATGGACACTTTTTGCACGAGCCTAGACTCAGGTAAGTGTTATCTTATGCTGTCATGAGACATTTTTGCATGATATTTAGTGATTTGATCTTTTACAAAGCTGAGCTACTTTTACTAAGTTGCTAGATTTCTTCCCACAGTAGCTTTGCTGTAGTTCAACTTCTTTCAGTGTGATGTCATTGGTAGCTTGCAAAGCTGTGTTTTCAAAGCAGCTTCCTCAACTAATTAAATAAGGTATAATGCTATCATTATTATGATGCATTTGCAAGTGAAGATTAAAGTTACAGTAACATATTTCTGGACAAAAATAAAAGCAGTTTGCAAGCTTACTTTCAGAAGTCTATTGAAATGAATGAAAACCTAAGCCTGCCTTCAGGGTAGGGTAGAAAAACTATTATTATATATGTAAAAATATGTGTATTAAACTATATAATGCTTGAATGGTTGGAGTAAAAGAGTATGATCTTTAAACCAGGCTATAACTTCAATTTAAAGTTCAAACTTGCAACACCTGCAGGACATTTTGGCTCCACTATCAACACAAAAGTCTTTTTTTCCTCTTAATTTTTCCTGAATCCACTTTGGCCAAACTGTTCATGAATTGTTCCCATCGTCACCATCTGACTGGTGCACAATTTAGGGGGGCTAACCAGATGGAGGAGGCGACTTATCCTAAGCTATCGTTGTTCATAAATTATGCACTGTTTCCCATTCATGTGAGTGATGTAATGGTTTAAGTCTGCTGCTGATTTGACTTGCTCCCCTGCGCCATGTGCTCCGTCGCCGGTTGCCAAACGATGGGAAGATAATCCTGTTTGGGGGGCTAAAAGAAAAGAGTGAGTAGCCAATTTAATATGGATTTTGAGAGCGAATTAAAATGTATCTGATCCAAAGCTAGAGGCAAATTTAGCTGGAGGCTAGTGAGAGTAAAAACAGGTGGAGTAGTGCGCTCTGGGAGTGAAAGGGAGGAGAGCATCCTTGCCCGTTGTTCCTGCTGCCGGCGTGACGCGTGGTTAAAGTTGCCTTTTTCTGGACGCGCTCCAGCTGTGTTTTATGGACCGGACCACTGGTGTGCGTGTGCAGAGTGTGGGACGTGATGTGGTTCGGTCCTCAGTGAAAAGGTCTCCCAAGTATCTCTCTTGGCAGACGAGCACCGCGCGTCCAAGCGAGGTGGAGGAGAAAAAGGAGGAGGAGGGGGGACAGCAGAGGCAGACAATGCGGTCCTGCGATGCGCTTATTTCTCCGTACAATTTACACCCACATCCACGAAAACATGATGTGCCGAAGACGTGGGAGAACTCCTCGTGATTTGGCTATTTTTATTTATTTTTTATAATCGGATTGAAGCAAATTCCTTTCACGTTTTGACCGAGAACAAAAATAGAGATGAAATTTCCAATAGAAAACCCGAGGAAACAAGTTAACTGGGACCCGGAACAAGGTTGGTGAATACTGCTTTGTTATTGTGTCATAACTTTACATATGTCATTTAATATTACTCTAAATCTCAGCAACACCTCATAGAGATATCTGAGGCACAGTAAATCTGCATTATTCAACATTTTTACTCAATATTTTGTTTTTTTTCCCAGTGTGTTTTTTCTTATTGTAATATTTTAATGTGCCAAAATGACCCTTAACACGAGACAAGGCGGTTGGGTGGATTTCTTTATTCTCCATCCTCCTTG